TCAAAATAAATACATTCCATCTTATTTGTAGCATTCTATAATGGTAACTCAGTTTTGATTGTTATTTTATAGTCAAGATAAGTTTTTTTATGATAGACTAGAAAGATGCCTTTTATTGTCATATTTAAGACTTACCAGAACATTTTATCTAAATCAAAATTATTGATTAATTTCTCGACTCCATTCAGGTTGTTCAGAACAGGTAATCCACCTATTCCTACAATGGTTGACTACAAACAAAACTCCAGCAAAATTTTTAAATCATTTTGTCTAGTACCTATGTATACAGTCACTACATATTTGTTGTTTTTTTTTAACTTAAAAGACTGTAAGTACCTACACAATATTTTCCTTTATTGTATCAGTTAAATCATTGAAAACCTAGAATCAATCAACCAATATATATTAGCAAAAGTCAGACAGGTTGAACAAGGTACTTGGGGGTATAATAAAATATGACATTGCCAATGAGCTCCAGAAACCTATAGATTTCACTAGGTGTATATCTGAGAGAAACCACATGACAACCCACAAAAAGGGTTCAGATAATGCTTTTTACAGGTGGAACCAAAGTGTTCTAAAAAACGAACAGCTTTAGATTTCTACACATAACCAAACTCATAAATATTCTAACTTCCTTAGAGAAAGAATCTTGTTTTTCTCTATGTCCCCTAGTTCAGTCCACTGCTTACAGTGGATGCTTAATAAATGTTGCTGACAAACCAGAAATAATAACGTTTTCCCTTTTTCTCGAGCCACCAAAAAATCTGTTTTTGAATGACATTTTGGAAATACAATTTTAATAATGAGATCCTCCTCCTCCCTTTCTACATTAAACTCCTCCCATTGCTTTTCCATCACTTTCACAACGATGATTACAATCCTTGTCACGGTGTACAAGGCCCTGCATGACCTGGCCCCACTCCTCTCTCTAACAGCTCCATACCCAAGGGCCTTTTCTGAGTTACTTGAATGTGCCATGCCATTTCCTGCACCAAGTTTCTGTACTTAATATTTCTCCTCTGCCTTTACCTGGTTAATTTCTTTATATTTCTAAGTTTTTAGTTTAAATATCACTCAGGAAAACCTTTGATTAGTCACTGCACACTATTTTAAGTTCTCACACTACCATGCATCTGTCCTTCAAAATATATACCACCATTTTAAGTCCCCCTTTTAAAAAATAATTTAAATCCCCCTTTTACAAAATAAGCTTCCTCATTGGAATGTGAAGTCTATGAAAGCAGGAACTATTTCCGAGAGTTTATTCACCATTTTATTACCTGAGCCTAGTACTCTGGCACATTTAAAGCATAAAATCAATATTTGTTGAATAAAGAAGTGAATGAATGAATGAATAGGTGAATATGGTGTCTATCTGGTCACATTAGTAAGCTCACTAAAGCAGGGTATTTCTTAAATGACATCTATCGTACTGCCCCGTTCAGCAATATTAAACAAACAGCCATATGCATCTTTGGAAATTTAAATACGGAAAGTGAATAAAAGTAATATTCAGTGTATAGTATGAAATTTTAATATAAATGACCCTAAAATGTATGAAACCCAGACCTGGAAATCATAAAAAGTTAATTTGTCATTAACCAGTCTTTTATTCTCATTTTTAAGCTGGATAGAGATGGGGTTCATTAATTCTTTTAAGCTGCTAGGAAACAGTTAGTCCTCTTAAGTAGAAACTTACTAAATAATAACAATTCAGGAGCACTTAGATGAATATGATTCACTGAAAAAGTTATGCACCCCATAAGCATCCATCCTTCAGGAAAGATGACATTCTTGGATAGTTGAGTTCTGAGGCTGACTTTTGGGTCAAAGAACATAAGTGATGCATAAGTTAGTTCTGCTCTACCAGCCATTTAATTTTTTTTTTTCTCTTGAAAAAACCTGAATCTGAGAAAAATATCAAACCTAATAAACTAGAAATATTTTTCAGCAGACATGTGTAATACAAGGCTCAAGAATAGTGTTTGTACTCTTACCCCGCCTCTGTGAACTATCATGACACATAATCTTCTTGTGTTCTCTTTCCATCACTACATAAATAGATAAATAAATAAAACTTGCTAGGCCTGAATAAATTAGAGTGAGGATAAAAGTGAGTTCATTAAATAAAAATATTCTAGAATTCTACAGGTACAGAAGTTGTTTAAAGACATTCTAGACTAGAAAAAAAAACAGAATATTTTTATAGCCTGTTTGGTAGTTCTTATTATATTTTGAATATGAAGACAACTAAACTAATATTAGACTTTTTTATTATGTTAAAAAAGAAATTGTAGTTGGGACCAGATATAATTTGAATTTTGTTTAATGTTTGCGGCTAATACTTTTTCCTACATTTTCTCTAATGAATGTGGATTTGTTTTTAAATTACTTTTTAAAAGAATGTGGCAGTTAGTGTAAATACTGGCTAGAGGCAGGGCTTTGTTTATATTTCATCTGAATGGAAATCATCTATCCCTAGCCATCAACACATTATTGGTGTTGGGAGAGGCATCCATTCTCAATTAATTATTTAAAAGTCACTTGACACACATGAAACAAGAAAAATAAGCAAAATGGAGTTAATCCTTCTGGGAAGACTGACTATGTCACTCCATTTCCATTTCTGTGATAATCAAAGGAATTCAGCCTTTTGTTTTCCTCTCATTACTAGTGGTGATCTTTGCACTCCATTTTTAGCTTAAATCTTCAAAATGAATCAGTGCCCCAAAACAATCCTAATGGATGTTTTTTCTGGGTTCAATCTGGGTACTATACTATTCAATTATGTATCTTGATAATTCCAAATTCTACATCTTATGGAAAGAACTATTCCCTTGAAAAATAAAATGCATTTCAGAGACATCTAATTCTGCTTCTCTTCAACATATTTTGCCATGCTTTCTCCATTCTTAATTGTTTCTGATTATGCATGATCCCTGGATCCCTATGTTAAAAATGCACAGATTTTTTTTTCATATAAAACACCCTCCTACACAGTACAAGCTGTCATTGTATCATATCTGCTTCCTGATTTAAGGGAGTTATAACTCATGTGTCCTTTTTAAATTGCCTGCACTGTATTTTAAAGTGGTATTGGGATACTTAGGACATATTTCCCATTAAATAATGTTTATTTTTTATTCATTTCTATTAACAGTGCAGAGGATGCAACTTCAAATTATACTACAGCAAATTAACATATGTAGCTATCTTATTCATGATTTATAATTATGTTAGATTTGGTAGGGGAAAAACACATAGTTTTACTTTGTGTAACATAACTGTAAAGCCTGATGCTAAGTCCATGGAAATTTACTGGCCAATCTGAAGTGCAGTATAGGCCATGGAATACACAGCCTTCGATAATTACTTAAGCCAAATACAATGAAAACAAAATCCTTCATGAAGGCAAAGAACAATAAAATCGCACTTTACATTTTTTTTCCATGAACACATGAAGGCTACACAACTCTCCTAATGACCAAGTTTTTTCTTCCTAACTCACTCCCTTTACTGTTTAAAGAATTACAAATTTTATCAAGCCTACATTTCTGTTAAAGTCAGGTGAGTGAGAACTGCCAAGTCTAGTAAGATTTACAAGGGCTAGTTCCTCTTCTCAGTGTCAGCAAAAAAGCCAGAAGATATTATACAACAAAATACAGCCATACATAGAGCTTTTGTCCCTGCAGCTTTCAAATTAGATTTAATAATTCACCTTTTAAAAAATTTCAGTCATAAATGCCATTTATCCATGTGTTGACTGCCTTGATTTGACCCACAAGCTCTCTATTTGAAACCCTAACATCTTCTCTCCTGCTCAGCGACAGATACATCCATGTTTCATCTTTTTCATATCTTACTTTCTTTTCATAGGCTTTCCTGTATTTTTACAATATTTTTCCTTGGTCACTGTTATGTAGCAACATTGGAGAAACACATTGATTAGTTAATTTTATTTACAAAGTGGAGAAAATAAAACTATGTTTTTCATTTTTTTAAAAATTACATACATGTTTGAATCCCTAAGAAGAGCAGAAATTACAACTTGGCCTTCTCTACTCAGACAAATATTATTAGCTGTATATACTCAGAAAATCTGTTGCAATCCTTCATATGCGTCCTGTTTACTAGCCTACAGAAGCTTCCCAGGCCAGCAACATCTTAGTTTCTCTACTGTTTATCTTCCCATGGCTAATTGAGAAATATGTTATTTAATCCCTAACATTTCTAAACATTAACTGACCTATCTCTCACTTCAAGAAACCACAGAAATCACACAATTTTACTTAAATTGACAAATATTGGTCTTGGACATAACCATAAAACTAACATTAATTCCAAGAAGTCTCCTCCTTCTTATCAAGAAAATCTTCACGTGCTCCCCTTTTCTGGCGCCCTTTTTCCACAACCAGGAGTAAGACTTTACACTTGACTTGTAAAAGTCACAGCAGTGTCCATGAATTATTTCTCCCTTGTCCTTTACCACAAATAACTATGTGGGGATTCATAACCATGAACTTCTCCTGTATTTCACCCTTCACCAGTAGTGTGCCCAATCTTCTAGATGCTTATTTGCATCATATGGGGAAAATCTGTGTATTACACACTTAAAGGTGGTAGAGAAGAGTACAGTGGTTAGTCAGGCGGGTCACAGCCCAATGAAGATAGGGAGCAGCTTGGCAAAGAACCCAAGGAATGAAGAGGAAAGGTCATTTTACTTGCCACTTGGAAGGAATAAGGGTTGCTAGAAAGGAGCCCCAGGAAGAAATCCACACAGGAAATGAACTGCTCTACCATTAAGAGGATGCCAAGGGAGGAGCTGTAGGAGGTGATAAAGCAGAGAGGCCAAAAACAGGTCTTCACCTCTAAACTAACTAAAACACACCGTCCAGAGAAGGAAGCCCCCATGCACCAACTCGCACCCGCCTGCCTCGCCCTGCCTCCCCTTGCCCTGCCCAGGTCGAGGCCCCAAGGGTTCAGGTGTAAGGCCTTACCTTGGCTGCAGTCCTTGCCGCGGAAGCCGGTTCGCGAGCAGTCACACACCGCCTGGTCGTCCACCACGGAGCACACACCTCCATTGAGGCACACTCCGCCCTCGCCCTCCTCGCCCGCCTCACACGGGCTCCCGCCGCCACTGTTGGGCGGCTCGTCTTCCAGCTTCACCTCGCCGCTGTCCACTGGCACAGCCTGGGAGGAATTAACCCTCACGTCACGAATCCACCCTTTGAAGGGCTCTCGCTCCCTCACCGAGGCCAGCGTGAGCTTCAGCGCTGCAGCGCGCAGTTCGGGGGGCAAGCCCCCGACAAAGAGGCCGCTGAACACAGTCATGTCCCTGCGCTTGGATTTGACCTCCACCCACTTGGCCTCCACCTGGTCGATAAAGAGCGTGGTGTTGCGGAACTGACGGCGGATCCGCACATTGTGCCATGCGCCGTCGTTGACCGGCGTGTCGGCCAGGAGCGTGGCAGGCTCCGCGCAGAAGATGGAGAAGCTGAGCTGCAGGCGGCCGCCGCGCGTCAGGATGAGCTCCAGGAAGTCGCAGAAGCCTTCGTCGTCGAAGTAGAGCACTAGGCCACGGGCGCTGCGCGTCTTGAGCTGGAAGCTCATCTCACTTTCGCAGCAGGCATTCCACTTGGGGAAGCGCGTCCACTGGCCCTCAGCGCCTGGGAACTCCAGCCCGCTGCCCAGCTCTGCCCAGCAGCCCAGGAGCAGCAGCGAGAGGCACAGAAGAAAGCAGCCCCCGCGCTGGAGAAGCGCCGTCCCCATGCTCGTGGCTGGGGGGCGGCGGGGGGGTGCGGGGGCCGACAGGGTCAAAATGGTCCTGGACACCGTCACGCAGAAACAAGGGTCCAGAAATATGTAAGGTATGGGGATGGACAAGACTGAGAGGTATGCACCCTCCTTTATCTAGCTCTTTTTTTCTTCTTCTTCTTCCAGCAACCCCTCCCTTTCTCCCTGTAGTCCCCTCCCAACTGGAAAATGTAGATCCCAGTGGTGCAAGACAGCCACAGAACTTCCAGACCAAAGAGAGGATACACTTTGGAAGCAACGTTCTGGAAAAGGTGTCAAAAGAAGATCAAGGTAAATCACTCCTCCATTTGAATCCAATGAACTATTTCAAGGGTGTTGGTGGTGTCAATAGATGCTTTACCCCTCAAAAGCCACCATCAGTGGTACCAGGAAAAAAGGGAGGCAGCGTCAGGTAACAAACAAACACACCTCAGAGAAGAGCAAGAAGACTGCAGGGAACCAGCGTCCTCAGATGCTTGTGAATGCCTCAAGTGTTTCTCCTCCAGATGTAGTGCCCCAATTCAGAAGGGAGAAAGGAGTTCCTTGCCTCTTGAGGTCACCACTTATCAACCCCAGAGTAATTTCAAAGGCCTGCTTCTTCTGTCATATCATGGACTTCCAGCACGACTGAAGCCAACAGAATTTGTTGTGCATGGCCTCAGAGGTGGATTTCACTTGTCTTTTTCTTTCCCTGACAGAGGGTTCAAGCCCAGAAGATGTGAAATAGCCAATAGCTGTTAGATGTAGAAATCACAATAGCTCCTCTTCTCTCTGCCTCTGTAAGGCCAAGCTAAGATGCCAGCTTATCAATTGGCTGTGTGTTGGTGATGTATTTTTGTGTTATTTTGTCTTTTTTAAGGACCCAGAAATCTGCAGAGGATTAAAATAAAAATTAAGTTCTAAAGTCATCTATAAGTATATCATATAAATCATTATTCAACTCAGAAACCAGGAATATAACTAGTGCTCTTAGTAAGTCAAGAGTCAACCTTATTAGAAGGAGCATATTTGTCTCAATCTACAATTAAAACTTAATGTCTCCTAATAGTTAATATCACACTCTTACAATCAGCCATTACACCATTGTAGCCTATTGTAACTGTTTAAAGGTAACCTTTTCAGATTTTTATAATTCATTTATAGTTATCTTTTACTTTTTCTGAAAAATTTTATTTTTTTTTACATATATGAGAAGAGGAAAAAAAAGGCCCTTTTAAGGACTTCTGTTCACACTGTGTACTGGTTACATGCACAATAAAAATGTAACCTATTCAAATCTCAGTTAATAGCAGATCTTACAATAGCAAAGCAGATCACACTGTCCACTGGAAACTGCTAGCTTGGATTTGTATAGCGTTCCTATCATGTTATTTTTCTCAGAGAGAGAAGGAGTAATAATGGTTGGTTGAGAGTCTTTTAAATTTCAAACATGTATTTTTCCCCTTTTTATTAAAGGAATAATCTGTTATAGGAGAAAGCATCTAACTGGAGTCAGATATCTATCTTTGGCAGCATTTATACCTCAATTGCCAGTAATACTAACTCTTCTAAAGATGAGTAAGTATTTAATATTTTGCATAACAATGAAGTGAAGTGATCCTTACTGCTCTTGAAGTCCTTATCTGACTGTCAGCTCTTAAGATTCCTGTGGTCAGAACAGCAGTTGGCATGTGTATCAACTTAGCTGCTATGGCTCCAGGATGCAAAAATTTTTAATTATATCTTTGAATCATTCACTATACTATTAAACCACCTCTATTTATTATCCCTAAACAGGTTCTTGAAATGGTACAGAAATCATAAACAGTGACTTGTTTTTAAGTCATTTTTTACCAAAAAAATTATTCTCATATTTTAACCAAAATCCCCCACAAATGTATCATCTGGTCATGTCAAGCAAATGAATGTTATCCCCCTCACCATTTCCCTCTGTGCCCCCTACTCCCCACAGCCACCACACACACCACATATAACCCTCACCCCCACCCCACTCACGACACACACACACACACACAAATTTATTGCCTGGACACAGAAGCTCACTATCCAATTAACACTTTTTTTTCCCCTACAAGCTGAAACTAGCAGTAATTTATGGCACCGCATTGTGCTGCTGCTCCTCCATGGAGGGAGCTAAGAGCATTTCTCTTCAGTACAGAGCAATCCCTACAGGTGTCAGCTGAGAGCCACCAAGCTAGGGGGATCCCACTTCAAGTTCCTCCTCAGATGAAATTGATGACTGGTTCTCTCTTTCAACACACACACACACACACACACACACACACAGACACACACACACACACACACACACACACACACACACACACACACACTGTCCAATAGCAAAAGGAAATAAAAATCTCAATTGCCTATTTATTATGGCTGATATATTCTACACCATCAGCAATCACCAGCCATATCTTGTCTATTCCAGTGCCAAGCCCAAAGAAAGGTACTTTTAAAGATCATTCTAAGATAGCATATTATTCAATATATTCTCATTGTTTAAGTGGACTCAGGAATCTGCCAAGTTTTCAGTCATGTGTGAAATAAATCTGGAATTTCCAGATCAAGAGTAGTGTTTTGAAACCATCTACAGTCTCTTGTGTTAGAAAACCATTTGTGTGTGTGTGTGTATGTGAGAGACTCAGTTGGAGACATTTATTTTATTAATATCATATAGATCACAAACCCTTCTTCACCACTCTCTCCTGCCCTCCTCGACAAATGCATACCTTGACTATTTTTTAAGGAATGGAAGAGAAAGGGAAAAAATACATATATATATATTCTTACCACACGGGAGGTCAACTGACTCTCCCGTTCTTAGAGGAAGCTCATTATGTTTGAGACAGTATCTGTATTTATATGAAAAAGAAGATTCTCTCTAGGTGCCAGAAAAACCTGGTGAGTTCACATATTAGAGGGTGAAATAAAAGAAACTGAAAAACAGTCCTACTGCAGCTAAAGGAAGAAGCGCTCTTATTCAAAATCAGACCAACAGCTTCATTAATCTTTTCTTTCATTTCTAGAATCAAATTCATTCCCAAGACACTGGAAGGATCAATACAGTATGCTCATCAGCTGCAGTTGAATTTATTTTAATATGTTTATGGTATCTCTCTCACACACACACACACACACACCCCTTTCCATGCACTCTTCAATATATATCACAAAGAACCTGAAATTTTTGGCCAAATTTTTTGAAGTGCCTGTCTTTTTACCCATGGCTTTTGCAAAGTCTCTCAATACCAGCGCACACGCACACCCAAAATTCTCCCTGGCTTTCCCGCCCAGTCTCTAAGCTCGATCTCTAATATCAGTGCAGTTTCTTGGAGGCTGGACTCGGCTACACAAATTAAGGATAGGCACAGACAGCATGGGGCTAACGGACAAGGGAAATATATATATATCATATATATATATTATATATATATATGATATATATATGTCTGCTTTGATTTCTGATTTGCCTTTTGTTTTCTTTCTTTTGCTAATAAATCACAGCTTTCAGCCTTTAAGTTACTATTCCAGTAACACCATCTCACCTTCTTGCCATCTATTTAAAAAGCTTCATGCAAAACAACTAAGATCTATACTCCTCCACCCTCCCACCACCCATCTTTCGCAGTGCATTTGTGGCAGATCCTAGCTCAGTTGCAACAGGGAAAGATATCCTCCAGCTTGCCTCGCCCCATCCCCTCCCCCAAACCCAAATTGAGCTTCTTTACCTGCCCGATTATTTCCCTTAGCTGGAGCCAGAGCCTGAAGCATGCATCGGCCAAAGCGAATTTCCTGAGGTCTGTGGATAAGGCGACTGCCGCTGCCTTTTCAGAGGCGTCAGGCTTGAGCGTCTATCTCCAAGAGTGCGGGAGGGAAGAACAGGCAGCGGAGGGGAGCAGAAGGAGGAGGAGAGGGAAAGAGCTAGGAAGGAGGAGGCGGTGGTGGAGCCCGAGAAGGCTGGGTTACGTGACGCCGGGTGCTGTCCTTCTGAAAGAGAAGGGCGGAGCTGAGCTCTCCGCAGTACCATGGAGAGCGGCGGGGTGTCCTCAGACTGAGATACTGGCGGGCTCCGCCCGCGGGCGCAGCCCCTCCTGGTCGGGATGCTGCGGAGCGAGGTGTTTCTACCTTTGCTTCGTCCCCTTGCAGGGGAGCCCGGTCCTGGGGGCGGGGACCTGCCGCAAGCGCTTCTAACTTGTCACCACCCACCCTCCCCCGAGAGAGCAAGAGCGAGAGCGAGCGAGCGAAAGACAACGAACTGGAGAACCACGGAGCCTACTGAGCATGCCCAGGCCCCTGTTAGACCCACGGAAACCTGTGTGGAGATTCCACTTCTCCGGGGTTTAATCGTGATTGAGCGAGGGTACCTGAAAGGGTTCCAGGGAGGAGGACGGAGCTAAAAGGAAGGTGCCAAGGAGTCAGCGCTTAAAATAAGCTCTGGCTTAACTCGTTCACTTTGGTCTCCTGCTTAGAACCCTTGAAAAGCTGCAGCTTTTCGATGAATGCAGTGACAGGCAAGACTTACACAGTCGCTGGCATTCCCCTAGGTCAAACGTCCCTGTCCCGGCCCTGACTGGGGCCCTAGCCTAAGTGATCAGTTCAGACCTTCACGGTACGTCTAGGCTGCGCAAAAAGACTTGAAGGAACCCCACAGGCTAACACGCCAACTTGGAGACCAGACTCATGTCGGTCTGACAAGGTGTTTTGCCGCAGCCTGTCCTCATCCTCCAGCTTTCCATGCTCTGCTCTGACCAGGGGCATCCTGAGCTGAACCAAGTTCTCTTCCTGTTTAACTCTTCCCTCCATCTCCCTCTTCCTTTTGCAGCTGGTAAAACCTGGAGGAAGAGAAATTCTGGCGGAGACTCCAACCATATTACTGGGCATGCCCAGTAGGTATTTCTGGGTTTGGTGACAAAGGAGTTAACTCTGAAGGAACTTGATGAATAGGTGATAGAAAAGTTCGAAGTGTATGACTTTAATTTATAGTTTGAGTCCTAGGTACATTTAAATTCCTAACCCTATTATATTCCTAGCCTGGGCTAGTTTTAGAGTAGAAGCAGCAGACATATTTATTTCAACACCACAAACCTAATAGTTTCAGCCTCAAACGCTTTAAGGTAAGACTATTTTCTGCCTCTAGGCCTTATAAAGAAAGACTGTAAGAACTACACAAATTCAGAATACTGAAATAACATACATTCCAAATGCAATATTAATTTTCTTACAAAGAAACCGTAACATATTCCTATGATAAGCCTATTTATA